TAATATAGATAAAAACAAAGTTGGTCAACCTTACATATTTGTTAATTAATAATTTCTCAATGAAAGTAATTAAATATTTTATTAAAATATTTATCAGAGTTTTATCATTTATGAAACAAAAGAAATATATAACTTTTAACCTTTATGTAATTTATGTCCATCCAAACATGTGGTCAAAAAAATAAGCTAATTATAAGCTAGTTTATGTTTGCCAAACAATGCCTAAATCTAATCATAACTTTTACAGTTTTAGTTGGACCAAGAAGTACATATAGAAACCACAAGGATGGTGCCTGGTTGGTTTGAGTTTGGGCTCCAAAGGTCAAAAGTGCATGGAGGTCCCAGGTTCAAATCAAAAGAGAAATAAAAATCCCCTTGTGGCCATGGAGGTTCAAATGCGGTGACTCCAGGCTACCCGTAAAGCATGTGGTCGCGCTGTGATTAGTCGGCTCGCATAGCGGGTTGGATATCCAGGTTAATAAAAAAAAGTACATATACATGCATGGCCTCTTTCTATGGATGGAAAAGAGAGATCAAAGCATAATCTCAGAAAGATTAAATGACTAACCTTTAGGGATACAACTTCACCAGTATGACCATCGGAAATCATCGCATTTCCATCTTTGTTAGATTCATGATCATTTGCAATGGGTATACTTGCTTGTTCTCTTCTCAATCTATCTAGCATCATACGAAGCTCCTCATTTTGTTTCAGACAATCTTTTACCTGCATTGATCGCACATAACAAGCATTAGACAGGTAGGATTATATGATTTCTAGATTGAATGACTAAAGAGAATAAAATGCTCTTTTTTTGGGTATAACTTGTTTGACTCAAATTTTTGTTTTTTTAATCACATCCGTTGGATCATCTCATCTTATGGTTGAGAGTCATTCTTGTGTTTTCGTATTTTGACTTTGTTCTCGTTTTATACCTACACCTATATAATATATGCATATATACATCTTGTAATGAGAACATAAGCATCGAAACATGAGTTGATATTTGTGCATGAACTTTTAGAAGTTGGGCACATACTTGATTTTCCCAGTGTACCACTACACTCGTTGCCTCATGATAAGCTGAAGATAGGTTAGAATTCTCCTCAAACAGACTTTCTATCTCAGAAGATTGGGTATCAATCTGTTCAAAAGTGAAAGCTGAATCTCGTTTTCATGCCAGGATGTTGACATAAGCAAATTTCAGTAAAACAGTTGTACCTCCAATAGTAGCTTCTGTCTGCTGCTTTCCAACTTCTCAACAGCTACTGCCATATCATGCAATTGTTTCTCAAGTCTCTCTTTGTATTCCTACAACCATAGAAAATTTAATGTAGTCACATGGGTTACTGGCAACTTAATGAGCTACAAAGGTACCATCGCAAGGATATGGGTATCAAATACACTTTTCCTTAACCACAAGGATGGTGTCTGATTGGTTTGACCTTGGCTCCAAAGATCAAAAGTACCAGGAGATCTCAAGTTCAAATCCAAGGAGGAATAAAAATCCCCTTGTGGTTGTGGCCACGGAGGTTCAAATGTGGTGACTCCGGGCTATCTACAGAGCAGGTGGTCGCCCTGGGATTAGTCAGCTCGCATAGCGGGTTGGATATCCAGGTTAATAAAAAAACATTATTATATACAAATTCTAGGAACTCCCATGAAATACCTATGTTTGTGGGATTTCAAATCCATGAAATCGTTCAAACCAAACATGGGATTGTTTCATGTCTGTTATGTTAAAAAAACAGTGAAAAGCAGAATGAATGGCCAAAAAAGCAGTGATATATGCAGATGTGAGTTCGCATATAGTGATTAGGTTTAGAGAACCTCACAAATTACCCTTATTAACCAAGACACCAAAGTGGCTTACTAACAATTTGAGGAACCAGGCTGGTTTTCCTATTATATCAAGAGCGTTTGCTTCCACGTACCAGTGTGAACGGTGCCTCTTTTCCTGAAACTCCTGCATTACACATCATAATCAGAAAGCTAAATGTCATGTTGTTACAGACAAGAAAATTTATAATGCACACAATCACCATCAAAGAAAATAGTATTGGAAAAACTATAAAAGACTGAATCAGGACATTTCTGTACAAGACATTTTTTTCTTAACAACTAACTTAAAAACCCATATAAATGAATATCCCAGATCCCTTTCATCCCTAAGCTATGCTGTTAATAGCAGTGCAATAGCGGTTCATGGTCCTGGAAGAAATTGCGTTAAATAGCAGTGCAGTTTACGGCTAAATGCCCCTTTTTTTAAACGAAATAGCGGTCCGCATAACCGCCATTTGTGGTTGGGCTCTTTTTTGTCTAACCAACTTATATTAGACCTATTTATATGATTTGGGATTTTATTTTGGACTTGTACTTGTTTTTTTTAATGGTTTACATCATTTAGGTATGGTTTGGAAAAAATAAGCTAGCTTATTTTCTGGGTACACATTTGGATGCACATAAACTACCTTGTTGAAACGCTACTTGGAGTACCGTTTTGGGAGCTTATTATCACTTTTTCCAATTATAACCCGCATTAATATTAATTATTATTTATTAGTATTAATTATAAATAAATATTAAAT